GCATGTTTCATCAATCATCCTGTGTATAACATATTTATTTCCGTGTTAAAATATTTAATAACTAAACACTGTTATTTGTTTGTGTAGGTCCCTGTATATATTTTACTTACTTCTTTATATATAATTTTTAACTTATCATTAAAACATTTAAATCTCATTATTCAATTTCAAAACGAAATTTGCAATTTCCCTTTCTCAGAAATCAGAATATTAGTAGGAACTCTTAAATAGTTTTATACCTATTTTTTTTATAATTATTTTTCGTTTAAGAGAACATACACCCGTCATAGGTACAATATCAGGCTTAGCTCCGTCCCAGTTGTTTAATCATATTTTAGTTTAAAATTTAAATTATGAGGGTCTGTGATGCTGATACAATTCTAGCTTCCCTAGAAATGAATTTTTAGTTGTGCCTTGGCACCTCCACGCGTTGTTTCCGTTTTCCAATTATTACGTTGTATATGTGTAACATATATAAGCTATAAGCAGCAGTGCAGCACCCTTCACACATTTGTGTGCGTCGATGTGACTATCAATGTTCAAATAGTAGTAGATTTAAATATTTAATAAATAATACTTTCTTGATATAAATATTATTGTATACAATTCTATAATTTATAATGTATTAGTTAACAGTTATACATGACGTACATTCTCCTATCTAATGCTTATCATGTATCAATAAACAACTTTCGTTAAAAGTTCCCATCTTAGTTCATAAATCATGATTAAAACCAATAGATAACTATAATACAATGTACAATGTACATATATGTTATCTATAAATAGTATTATAATAGTAATACCGACCTTTGGCGAAGAAGGTAATTAGGTAATTGGTATAGATCCCGATAACAGTGAAATAGAACCTATTTATTAGGGAATAACAGTCATTGCATTTTTAGACGTTGCACACGGTTCAAGTTGAAAATATTGAATTTGTAAAAACTTTATTTTTCATTACATTAGTGTCTTAGAGTAGATTGTTTGTGTTTCGCGTCATTTWWAAAAAATAAATTTGGAAGTTTCTTTAAAATATAACATGGACAGAATTGGAAAATGGTTGGACGAAGACGATTACTTGTTCACGAAATCAATGCACGCTTATATCGAGAGTCGTATAATTTGGGACCTTAAACGATTGCCAATGTCTGTATTTCGTATGAAAAAGAACCGTTATGAAAATCCAAAATACCGTTATAGTGTCAGTGTCTCAGTTGTTTCACTTGCGATTTTTAATCCCTGCTAATTTCCAACTTTTAATAATGTCTATTTTTTATTTTTAGGCTCCAGAAAATGAACTCCGTAAAGTAAATGTCCACAGTGGAGAACGGATACTCTCTGAACATGAGTTGCGCATACAKCGTTCTTTACAAAGACTTAATCTTCCTGAATGGTACAAGACGTGCAATGTACCGGCTCAAGGATTTATTTTGAAGAGACATAGTGATGCTGGTTATACGACCAGTATGTCTAGCCTATCGTCAAACCAATCGCAGTCACCAAAAATGTATTCTAATCACAGTAAGTAGTGTTATTTAAAATAAAAAATTGCAATATTCGTTTATGAATACAATGTAAATGTATTATTGTTTTAGATAATACTCTGCTTAGCCCCCAAACACACGCTGCAACTAAGAATTTTTCACGTTGGAGTACTAGCCGCTTAAATGGATCAAATTCAAATAGTACATCTCCTTGTAGTTCCACGCGATCGTCATTTAACTATCGTCAACCATATTTGGGTTGGAGATCTCAGGAAAAATTGTCCAAACCTAGAACACCAGCTGAACGTCTTGCTGCTGGATTACTTGCTCAACAACAACATGAACCGGTAAATTTTATATCAAAACATTAATATCACTTATTATTATTCTCAAAATTTTGAATCTGAGTAAGTCACTATTGTGTAAATTGAGTAAATATTAAATTTGTTTGTATTTAATTATAAACAGATTGTGTTCAATAGTGTCCTACTATTCTATCGYACGCACCGACGCACCCACAACTTAAAACATTTTCAAGCATAACTAATATTAAAAAAWAAAATTCTGAATATAATAAATAAATAATTAAATTGTCAAATAGGTACACTATCCTTATTCTACAGCTTAAGATTTTAATATATATAATATTTTATTGACCGGCAAAACCTATGTGGAACATCCTAACACTTAGAATATTATAAATACATTTATATTTAATTAGTCAAAAAACTTGCAAAAATCCAATATTTCAATTTTTGAATAGTTTTATATACTTAGTTATCTATTCTACATTGAATTATTATTTCTCATTTTGTAAAGACATGTCAAACAAGCTTATCTGAAGTGCAGTCATCAATTAAAGAAGTTACATCAGCTATAGCCAACTATGTATCATCATCAACGCCAGATGGAAGTAAAGAAAGGTTGAATACTGATCACGATACCCCATCTAGGTAAAAATTAGTTGCATAACAATATAAAAATAAAATTAATTTAATTTATTTTGAATTTGATTCTTTTTAGATGCCCGTCTTTCAAAGGTAGCACAGGTCGCTTATGTTGGCTAGAAAGTTCATTTGTGGGCAACAAGCGTCCCAGTTTAACAAGAGACACACCACCATCAGAATTAAGTACACCACCGTCACATCGAAAAGCTACACCTATTAGACAAACTCAAAACAATGGCAGTTGGGCCAACGGTGAGTGTGAATATACGTAGACAAGGCTTGCTGTCACGTGCAAAATATTGGACACTGCCTGCTGTGTAGAAGCCGATAATATGCTTATCAAAACAATATCATATGATATAGCACTTGAACAGCTTTTGTTGGACTACCTTTAGATTTCATTTATTTATTTTGTAATTTGTTTTCGTTTTAGTATAAGCGAGTTAGTTATTAATAATGTTTTATTTTTTTTTATGTATGTTGCATTCACAGCAAAATTTAAACATTGTAGATTATTTTTTTATTATTATAATTAATTATGAATAAGCTAAAATCGTAGAGCATGGTAAAATCAATGAATATTTTTTGTAAGTTTAAATCTTTTTAGTATTAATTAATTGATTATTTCAATTGTTAATACTGTTATGAAAAAAAAAAAAGTAATATTTAATTTAAAGAAAATTCACTAGGACATTTTAATACATTTTTTTTATAAATATTTCTTTAAATCAGAAATTATTTGTTACTTGATTATAAAACCAATTGATTTATAATGAACTGAAACATTATAAATAAAAATAAACAAGTAAAGTATACATTATTAATAAACATTATACATTGTATACAAAACTTGTTAAATATTAACAAGTCTTATTAATTATTATTTAAAGTTCATTTAAATGTTTGTTTTTTAGTTAATATTAAGCCAAACTAAAAATATTAAGGAATTGCGAAAMACATTTTTATTTTTATTTTGTCATTGAACACTATTACTGTAATTAATATACAAATACATGGTGCTAGATAAATTGTTATATTTTATCAAACAATTTTTGGAAGCCACTGTTCTGAAATCTGTTTTCAAATTACCTAACATGGTATAATAACAGTCAACAATCTTTCGCATATATTCTTAAAAATATTTTTTAAGTCTATGCAGTGCTATATGCGTTATAAGCTTTAATATGATATGCAAATTTGTTTTAGTAATTCATAAATCTGAATAGGTTTTTATTTTTAAATGTATTAGTGTTTATATACATGTATTATATATTGTGTCATTTTAGGGATTCTAACATTAAATTTTTTATTTCTCAAATCATAGTTCATACTTATGTGTTAAATTTTTTCATAATGTTTATTCATAATTTAATATTTAATAATAAATAAAATTTGAGATAAGATAATATTATAAAGATGACCTTTTAATCTATCTCATATCCTCCATCGGTGCTGCAAACTATCATCATTTCAGTTGAAATTTAAAAATATTGTTGTATACAAATATTTATTTATCATAAACTTTTAATTGTATTTGATTTACAAAATTGATAATTATTTATATATTTTATTTATTATATATATATATATATATGATGCTTTTTAATGTTACTAGCAAAATGTATTGTATTACATTACTTTTATGTTTTATACATATAAATAAATATATATGGTTTAACTGTTTAACAATAAACTAGTTTTAGTGTAATTATAAAAAAAAAATTCAAATTAAAACATGATGTAATCATTTTCTGGCGAGTGAACTCAATATTAGTTACTCAAACTTCAAAGTTAAGTTTCAACCCAAAAATATTTAATATATGATCAATATACTATGAATCCAATTTAATTTRTATTATTAATTGAATTTTTCTTTTACTAATAACAGTAATAAGTAATAACAATTCTGAATATTTGGATCTATAAAACCAACATTTATATAAATTTACATTGACATTTTTTTACATRCCATGATGRACAATATTAATAATTTATTTTTTAAGTAATCCTATTTCAATCTTATTCATCATAATTATATTATTATAATTAATGATTTTTTACACTTTAATGCTTAGGTAAAAATAACCAAATTTTATGACTGAAATTTGACATTTCACATATATAACTCAATAAAATATTCATTTGTTTTCAAATAATTTATCCCCTCCAACAATTTAACTAATAATTGTTGTTTTTAAGATAATCAAAAATTACACTAAACGTAACTTTTTAAATTTTGATATTGCCAGTAAGACTATGTATTATGATAGAATAATAGTTTTATTTGTTCTTTCTAATAAATATTTTGTTCACTATATACTCAACATCTATTACTATGTTTTATAATTACGTTATGATATAGGTATTATAATATTACAAATTATTTTATTATATGTATTTTTTTTATTTAATATGTACATTATATTATTATGTATAGTAAATGTAAGCCGCGCCTATTTTCCCAAAAATAAACAATTGATAACTATAAGACAATAATAAATAGTGTATTTTGTTTACAATTTTAAATGTTTAAAAAATAAATTGCATACACAAAGCAAAATTAAATTTTCCAAGTGTTTCATGTTTTTAATTTATAATATTTCCTAAATCGTGTTTAGGTACCTATAATAGATACGAAACAACCAAATAGTTGATAGCGCATTTTATATTCTATACTGCCATTTCGTGCATKTGTTTTCTCAACGCGATTATTATTATTTCATCGCGCCATATGCATTATACATTGTTTTCAACCTGCTGTAAATTATTGAGCTTTATCATTTCTTTCATTGAAATATTAATGTTGACCATATAATTATTGTTATATTGAGAAAGTTTTTTTTTTTTTAATTTCTTTATCGGATGTTGAGAATTCACTTTTCGGCACGAATAATTATTGCAGATCGGCCGAGTCCCGATTCGACGACCATGGACGACGTCCTAAACTCGTTGTTAGGGTTGCAGTTCCAGGGGACGACCACAAATAACGATAGGTATCACCACCATCATCACCTAMCCCACCAACAGCATCGCGGTAACGATGCCCACGAAAGCGGCGGTGGGGACTTCAGACGAAGGCCCTACGCTGCTTCAGGTACGGCCAATGTGTAAGTGTGACAAAAATGCGTTTGTATAGAAATCGCAACGAAGACAAAATCAAAATAATATATTATAATATATATATATAATTTTACATCCCCCCACACCACTCCCCCMTTATAGCTTTTATTTATCTTTCAACCGTAGTTGCCGTGTGATCGTTTTGTGTTTGATGTATAGTATATTATAATATTGTAGACTTACCTATACCTATACCAATCTATACCTATAATTCGTGCAATACGAATATTTTATTGTTATCATTTATAATAGATGCATTATTTTAGTTGTTTAGTTTTTAGTCGTGTTCATGTGCTAGTATCGTTTTAGAAACTGTTTTGAGAAAAAAAAACTAGGGATGGGTTGAACACGAGTGTTTAAAAAACGTTTTGAATCCAAACTCGGATTTAATTCTTTTGAACTGTTTAAACTCATAGACTTTATATGGAACTTATAAAATCGAACCATAAAACAACTAAAATAATGCATCTATTATATGGAACTTATAAAATCGAACCATAAAACAATTATTATTGTAATATTATACTTGCTTAAAAAAAAAATAAAGAAGTTGCAGTCGAACCAGGATTTTTTGAACTTGCATCGATCTATTCGGTCTCGAACATCTCCGAGGTGTATAGTTTTRGTWGCGRAGAGTTTGAGAACCCATCCCTGAGTYTATATATACTTATATATAGAAACAAAATATAATATCTTTATAGATGTCATTAATCGAACTTGTGTCGAATTGTGCGTGCGCGCGATGCGTACACAGTTTCAGGTAACACGTCGGCTGTGGCACAAGCAGCAACGCCGACTGCAAAAGATCAGCATCAAGCGGCGGGCCCTCTGCCCTGTGGTTYGGCCGCATCGATCCGTTGCCGGTACTCGGAGTGTCAGCTGTCGGCCACCGTTTCCGAGGCCCGGCGCACGTACAAGATGTGCCACAACTGCAATCACATGTACTGCTCGAAGCGCTGCCGGCGCGCGCACTGGCAGAACCACAGGAAAACGTGCCTGAACCGGCGCACGGCCGTACTGTGCCCGTCCGTCGTGGACGCGATCCGGGCCAACGACCGGTGCGCCGAGCGGATGTCGACGATCGCCCGGCGCGGTTACCTGACGCACGGCCGYGGGGCGGTCAAATGCTATTTCTCGGGCGTCGAGCTGGCCGACAAGTTCGTGCGGAGCGGCGGCGACGATTTGCAGTGCGAACCGGTGTACGCCAAGTGCACCGACATCGACCCGGAACTGGAGGCGCTAGAACAGCTGTGCAAGACGTACAACCCGGACACGCGGTACGTGCTGCACGTGTCTGTGTGCGTGTTGAGCGAAGTGCCGGGCCCGGGACCGGTGCAATGGGAGCGGCACGTGGTGTACAAGTGCGTCAAGATGCACCTGCACAAGAGTCTGCGCGTCGCCGCCGCTCCGCAGTCTGCGGCCGCCGAAGCCTCTGAACCGGCCGCGGACGACGCCGGCGCCGTCGGTGCAGGTCCGGACACTCTGATACTGACCTCGTTGCCGGGACGTGACCAGCGGGACGTGCGCACATCACGCCGCGTGTGCTTCGCAAACGTGCAGCAACACCTCTGCCAGAGAGGCGTCGAGCTCCGGCACCAGTTCCCGGACGTGTACCGGAAGCTGTGCGATTACGTGGACGGAGGCCCGGACGCAACGTTCACGCCGGTCACGGTGTACCCGCGGGACAGGGCGTCCGGCAAGACRTTCATGTGCATCATCATGCCGGACACTGAGCCCGAGAAGCTGAGTCTGTTGCCCGGTGACAGCGCCAGGGTGCAGACCATCGACGTTGGTCAAGTGGCCGCCGCCACCGATCGCCTCGCTCATCGGTAATCGTCGACCGTCGTTTTATCTACACGGTGATGGCTGTAGGGGAGGGGGTGTGTTTGTTCGTTACTCTTCCTTCCTCGCGGTGCACTCACTTACAGTCCGCCCTCAGACTTGGACGCTCACATAATATATAATAGTCGTCTGGATRGCAGGTGATTGAGAAAATTTGTAATATTCTGTTCAACTTAAGAGACGTAATCGGCGACCGACTTGTGTGCGCAGGGGCGTGACAATACTACGCGGCTGCAGGTATATTATACAGATAATTATTGAACTTTAATGACTGGGTAGGTGCGACAAGCGGGTGTTGCCTTATTGCGGACTGACGAAAACCGATCGGCGCCGACTACGTTTTCTAAGTCGAACAAGAATTTAATATAGATATCCATATGGCCATATAATATTGTGATGATATTTCGATTATGTTCGAATTATTTTAATATATTTACACGTATTACCTGTTAGTGCAACAGAATGTGCGATTACTTGTCACCACGTGTGGTTGAGTACCTAACTCGATAATGTAGTTTTATTCCGACTTTGGGCTATATAAACACTAAGAACCTTATAATAATATTGATCGAGGCTCTCCTGCAATAAAGCAATTTGCATTGTCCTGCAGCAACCGTATTAAAAAAAAAAAAAAATTAGAAAGGAGAATGTTAATACCTACTTGCATATAATAGTTATTGACGGGGACACTAAATATATTATTATTATTATTGTTATATTTTCCTAATCTCATCTGCATTGACAATTTACCAGGATACTTTATATAATATAGGCATGTTATCCAATGATGTGCATATTATTTATAATATTTGCTTTTATTTACTAGTTATTATATATTGTTAATCATGTTATTCGTTATTTTATTATTATTATTACTATTATTGTTATTACATTTATACATAATATAACATCAAAATATAATAATAAAGTATATTATATACCTACAGGCTACAGTCTAATACTCCAATGTATTAATTTAATAGTGTCTAGTGTCGGCGCTATTCAAAATAAATCTAGATGTCAGTTATAACAATGTGAATAATTTTTTACTCGAACTTTGAATAGGTACCTGTTTAAAAATTTGATTTTAATTCTTCAGTCTTTTATACCTAACTTACAATACATTTAAACCTTGTAGTGTAGGCATATTAGGCGGATTAAGTAGAAGTCTTAGGGTCTTGGGGGTGGTGTGGAGGGTCAAATGTTTTTAAATAAAGCTCACATTTAGGCAAGCAATCCATACCTAAGCCGTATACCTAGGTATAAATAAGAATCCGGAAGGTATAGCAATATATACTACTGTTATAAATATTTCCATACTTTTTATCAAAAATATTTCATAATATAATAGTGCAATAAAATATAAGTAATAAAGCATTATTGATTTATGATAAATCTAATCAACGATGGGAGATGACACTGATCAGTGATGGGTACGGGCCACGGGGTTCATATATAATACTTCTCTCCTACCATCAACATAAGCATGAGCTCAAAAGTGGTAGATATTTAGATATATCATTTTATTTTATATATTAGTGTAAGTTTTAACTAAAACGGAAAATAGAATAATAAATAATAAAATAAATAAATAATAGTATCTAGGTATATTTGTTTATAATCTACACATTCCAAATGCACATTTCTGCAATAGTAATGATCAAAATCTGTCAACTCATGCAAGTTAATTCGTATTGAACACCTATGTAATTGAAATATTTTTATTTCCGGAATCATCGGTTCCAGTGGCGTACCCAGGATTTTCGAATGGGGGGGGGGCTAAATCTATATCGGTATTCGGTACCATAATAAACACAACGTTTATGCTTTGCTTATACTAGGTCATTGTTACTAAAGATAATACGTTGTATTCAATACCGTTTTTTAGAAATA